ACTAAAACGTTAATTTCTCAAAAATTTTCCGACGGATTTCGCTCAACTTTTCAGGGAACGTGCCAAATTGATGTATGATAAGGTACTGAAAGTTTGACGTCGCTGGCGTAACGCGTTTAGAAGTTATTGGCGAAAAACGGGAGGGGGGCAGATTCTGCCCCCCCCCCCCAGCGGGGCGCGGGTTAATTAATAACTACCATACCTTTCTCCGGAGCTACCTTCTTCTGGCACTTTTTGTCCAAGAGATACATTTCTACCGTCATGTTGTCTATCTCTTACCAATTGCAGTCTCCACTTCCAACGAATTCGTCTGTGCCGTCGTACTGTCGTGTATTGCGGTACAGCATCTCACTTTGGATTTCTTAGTAATTGGCATTTGCTTTGCCACCGCTTTCAAGGCGAGATGGGGGAGGACGTTCAAGACGCTATCCCGTTTGTTTTTGGGGGGACGGGGGGGGGGTTACTAAACCAATATTGATTCCAATCATTACCAAGCTTTTGTTTACATCCTGTGAAGAAAGCCGGGCCATGTTATAGTTGGACAAAATCCCGTCGGAGTAGCGTGTTGTTTGAGCTCCAACTGCCCAATAATAAAAACGCAGCCATGAATATCGCTTTCTCTGTGTTCCAGTGATGCAATCGTGGTTCCTGTGCTGAACTGCTTCACCAGCTTTTTCGCCGGATTCGTGGTGTTTTCGGTACTTGGATTCATGTCCCATCAGACCGGTGTTCCCATCGAGAAGGTGGCAACTGGAGGTGAGACAAACTAAAACCTCAAGCGAGGGAACGTTCGGTTCCCAACAAGTGGATTACTTGTACACTCATGACTTTGAACTTGGATCAGATGATCTGCTCTTGGCTCTGGTAACTGTGGCTTCTCGAGTAACAACGTTTTACTAAACGGGCTATCATATATGTATTTACCAACGACGGTAGAAACCGGCGACGCTTTTTGGCTAATAGCTTGCTGCACCGTCCGGCCGAGCTGACTCCTCGCGCTCTGATGCGTCCGGCAGGCCCCAGCCTGGCGTTCGTCACGTACCCGGAGGCGTTGGCGCTGCTGCCGGCCGCGCCGTTCTGGGCCGTGCTCTTCTTCTTCATGCTGTTCCTGCTAGGCATCGACAGCGAGTTTGTGCAGATCGAGACCGTGGTATCGGCGCTGCTGGACGAGTTCCCTCAGTACAGGAAGCGCAAGTCGATCATCACACTTGGACTATGCGTCTGCATGGGTCTCATTTCACTGGCCTGTGTGACCCAGGTGAGAGACTAATGGGTGGTGGTCTTCATTGACATACTCAATGAATGTTTTTCTCATTCAACTGTTGAGCTGTAGCTGTGATGTGGATTGTAATTACGTCGGAATTATAGTGTGTCACCGTTGTTTTGCGCTGAATTACGAGTTAGTGCTGTGTGATGTCTCGACTCAAATGTGCATTTCGATAGGTAGGGCGTGTTGATATGAGGCTTTTGGTTCTACAGCATCCTCATTAGTTTACTTCCTAATTTCATATTTTTTCTCCTTTACTTTTTCTCTCTCTCTCTCTCTCTCTCTCTCTCTCTCTCTCTCTCTCTCTCTCTCTCTCTCTCTCTCTCTCTCTCTCTCTCTCTCTCTCTCTCTCTCTCTCTCTCTCTCTCTCTCTCTCTCTCTCTCTCTCTCTCTCTCTCTCTCTCTCTCTTCCTTCTATCTCCTATTTTTTCTCTCAAACACTATCTAACTCCCTTCTATTTGCAGGGTGGAATGTACGTTCTTCAAATTCTCGATTGGTACTGCGCGAGTATGTCCGTGATTCTGGTCTGCATCTGCGAGTGCCTGGCATTCTGCTGGATCTACGGTAAGCATACACATTACCTTTAACAATAACATCGTTTTTGCCAATTTTACCTGCTTACGTGGGCTTCCTTTGAGGTGTAGCTCAACTTGTGTAAATGTTTCATGGAACGTATTTGTTACTGTTTATATTCATATTTATCGTTATACGCGAATCGCGATATCTAACCGGTTTTCGTTTTATTATTATTTCGATTGATATGCTAGATTTTACAAAAAAAAAGTTTAAGTGGTTGGGCACCTTTAAATGTGCCCCCCCCACAAGTCAGGGCTGGGAGTGAAACCACTAAACACACTGTTTAAACAAAAGTCACAATCGCATACCATGTTCCTCTTGAGTGAGGCGAGGTGTAAACAAAGCCCCATGGTGCCAGAGACGTGAGACGGGCTATGATCCCAGTGTTTCTTGTCATGCTGAGGCCCAATGTCAGCCATTCGCACATGAAAGCCGCCGCACACACAGCGACGACACGGCCTGTGCCATTGAATGCTGCGTCATTTAGGCGGGGACCTTGTAACGTAGTGGCTACAGTGACGTTGCAAGTTGAGGCATTGTAGTTTTATTTTGCACAGTATGTGCAACATTCATGTGCATTGTGACTGAGGATGCAGCGAAGTATTTCCGTCATACGTTTACCGTACATCATTAAATGATGACTATCTATAGCTGTTCCTATCCACACTCATACCCTTTTCTTATTGTTTTGCAAATAATCAATATTAGATATTAAAGGAAATAAATAGATCCAAGGAAAACAAACAAGCGACTGTAACACACAATTGGACGCCGAAACTGAACTCACAAAACATAGCTTTCGGAGCAAAACGCTTTTATTGTGGGCTGCTACGTCCCACATTTTTTAATCGAGTCGGTGATGCTAAAACCCGGAGCCCCACGCTGTTTTGCTGATACGCCCCAACGCAGCAGCCTAGTGACCCGTTTACTTCTTCACGTGCAGGCTCGGGAAAATTGTGCCGAGACGTGGAGTTCATGGTACAGAAGCCCGTAGGCTTCTGGTGGCGGCTGTGCTGGAACTTCGTCACACCGATAGTGCTCGTGGTAAGAAAATATACACACACACGTGCTAGTCCAGTTCTTTGTGGCTTACAACACAACATCTCTTTATTTATGTATTCGTTCGGAATGGCCGTATTGATGTCACCATTTGACCCCACAGCACTTCGACGTTATATCATGCTGCGTCGGTTTCTTAGTATGCCGATGTCTATTTATTGGTCATTTTATGAGACTTGACACTTGTGGGGCAATGTGATGACGTGCTACATGGTCCCTGTGTTTGGGCACAGCTGAGTACACTCAAAAGAGTATGACATTAATCATGGTATTGCAGCGTAGGAACGCAGCTACTACATTGATGCTGATGCTAAACAAAGTCCAGAGAGACAGCACACCATTCAAAACGAGGCCGTTGAGTTCTGCGCAAGTGCCGGGTCGCGTTCCGTGTAAAAAAATGTTTATTGAACGTCGTCTCTATCATAGAAATGATTGTGTGACCAATCCTTTGATCGCTGTTTCGTGCGTTTTTTAATGATTGTGGACTTCCGTAAAACTCCTTTTCTTTGTGTGTGTGTCATACCACAACTCCTTTTCTGTTTTTTTTTTCTCATCTCTTTCAACGCCGGTTCGCCTCGCATTCTGACTATCGTCTTTGACGCTCCTTAACCTCGTTTCACTTTCGTCGTTGTCTCACATTCATATCACACCATTACGGCTCACTTTCGTCTCTCTAGCTCATCTCACGCCGCCCATTCCGCGCCCATCTCACCCTCGCCTCACATTCTTACTTCCTGCACTTCTCACTTTATATCTCTTGCACCTTCGTCTTTCTCCCATCACGCGCCAGTCTCTCACTCACTCACTCACTCACTCACTCACTCACTCACTCACTCACTCACTCACTCACTCACTCACTCACTCACTCACTCACTCACTCTGTCTCTGTCTGTGTCTCTGTCTCTGTCTCTGTCTCTCTCTCTTTCTCTCTTTCTCTCCCTCCCTCCCTCCCTCTCTCTCTCTCTCTCTCTCTCTCTCTCTCACTTACTCACTCTCTCTCCTCACGCTCTTCTGTCGCTCATCTCCCTCTCGTTTTCACCGACAGCTGATTTTCGTCACGACAATGGTGTTCAACACCCCGGTCAGCTACCGGGGCGTGGACTTCCCGCCGTGGGCACAGGGCGTCGGCTGGCTCTCTGCGCTCGTCTCTCTGCTCCTGATGCCCGGGTACGCCATCTACCTGCTGGCGGTTACACCGGGCTCTCTGAGCGAGAGGCTTCAGAAGTGCTGCAGGCCCACGGACGACTGGGGACCGGCGCTGCCCGAGCACCGCCGCGAGTGGGACGAGTACAAGAGCAAGCACCCGCCGCACCTGCTGCTGGCTGAGGGTGCCTCCCTGTCCACGGTACTGCGGCGCAGAAAGGCCAACTATAACCCGTCGGAGGCGGCGGCGGCGACGGAGGCGGCCGCAGCGACCCCTGCCACCGTCGACAGCGTGCTGTAGCGTCCGACGGCGGCGGCTGGCGCGTCGGGGGCGGCACCTGTCCTGCAGAGCTCGGTGAGGAGGCTGCTCCTCTGCTGTGGCTAATTTCCTCCACACCGGTCAAATATGAGAGGTGATACCTGAATTGGAGATCGCAGGCCTTGAGCGTAAAAGCACATATGTTTTGCTGTTGTATCGATTCATGCTCACTCAGCTGCACGTATCGCTCGACTGCACCAAACACCAATACAATCACGTCGTAGATCTGAGTAAAATTACGAAAATTATATCTGTCTAACTGCTCGAATGATATGGCGTGCTTAGCAAACTCAATAGCCACTGGCTACTACGGAAAGTGTGTGAGGTACATTGTAATTTAGTAGGTAGTTCGTCGTTAGTAAGTAGACCTGTGACGCATCGTCAATAACTTGGAGTGAACCTATTTACAAAACAAAACAGACGTGTGCCATTTTACATGTGTGCAGTGAATGTGCGGCTTTGCCGGTCTCAATTTTCCTTTTTCTGTGAATGTCTTATGTCGCCATCTTTGTTCCATCATTTCCATCTTCGTTTTTTTTTTTCTCCCCTTCCCTCTCTCTCTCTCTCTCTCTCTCTCTCTCTCTCTCTCTCTCCCATGGGGTGTATTGTCTTTCCGTCACTCCTTTCGAGAAATCATGTGCCTCGGTGAGTATTTCCACTTCCCAGTTTGATTTTCGTGTGCGTCCATTCTTCACCTTGATAACCACCATGTGAGGGAAGCTCACTTCTGCAAACCATCGGACCAAATACAATGCAATGGCCGATATGTCCAGGACGATTGTGACGGTGACAAGTTAGCAGTTGTAGCGTTTTCAGATAACATTTTTAGCCCTCCTGCTAACTTTTTTTGAGCCATTGAGCCGTGCGCTGATATTGAAATGTGCTCTTATGTTGAACGGGTGTCTCGTTAAGTGCCGATACGCAGACTTTCAGACACGACACGGATTACACCAAATACGTAATACATGTTTAACCTGGAGCGAACGAGCGTGTGCTTGTCTTGTGGCTCTGTACATACATATATGACGTGAGAACTGAGGCTTATGAAGAGCAAGAAATATACAATACAAAGTAACTGGAGTGCGTTGGAAGACGAGCATGATCCAAAACTCCAAAAAGCCTGCATTTCAAAACCGTGACACTGCTTCTTTGCTTTTATAAGTCGTGGCATTTTTCATATTTTTACGTTAGCTTAGAGTGCAAAAGACGTCTTGATTTATTTAAGAAAAGTCTCTCATGATCGGTTTATAATTTATTGCAGTATAACACAGATGCTATAAATAAAATGTGCAGGAATACCGCAACAAAAATAAATAGAGAAATAACGAAATAGGAAATATTGTATTTTAGGTATAGCGCGGTTATCTTCGCTTTGCTTACCTCAGAAACGTATCATATCCACCAATCAGGCATGGGCTATTTGGCATGTTTTCGATGTTTCTATGAAATGGTCATCGATCTATGCGACCGTCCTTGTCAAGGCGGCGTGCAATTGACACCTCATTAAATACCTGCCAAAGTTCTACGATGGCAGAGCGAAACGATCAAGAATCTATATCTTATACGCTCTAGCTGAGCACCTGAGGGTATTACCTGGAAGCCAGCATCCCCGCTCCGACTTCTTTTACCGATGAGTGCGTCGGGTGTGCGTACGAGTATGTTGCGCCGATGAAGGTCGCGTCGGCCGACGGTCGGGGTCGGGGAGGTCAGGCATAGTCAGGTCGTCAGAGTAAGCCGCCTCGGGTGGTCGCGAGTGACGGACACTGTCGGCTGAGGACAGTATGAGGTGTTAAACAGAAAGGTGTCGCTTAGAGTGAAAACACAAGGCTGGTTGATGGCTGGTGGGCCGCTGATAAAGTGAAGGATGCAGTAGTAGCCACTGAGCGTACGTCTGCATGGTAGTGGAATCGATTACCTATTGTAGCAAATAGCTGCGCTCCTTTCGGTGTGCGTCATGAGGTGTTGAAGATATATGGTTTCTCATACTTGCTAATGAGAGAAGCAGTTCGCCCAGCATCAAGTGAATAACCATCGCCAGTGATAGAAGAACAGGAGCGTGCTGACGGAAGCTGACAAGACTGCCGACTAACGGACAAAGCAAGGATATCCCGTGGGGCTGCCGACCAATCGGGATCCACTCACGAAAGCTGGTAAGTACTTACCTACGTTGCTCGATTACACACGGCATCCTTCAGATTCTCATCTAGTCTAATGTTCGTTCAATAAATTTGAGATAAGACTTTGTAGAAAAGAAGCAACCGTGTTTCCCTAAACGAAAGGAAGTCAACAGTACCTATACCCGAGTTGAATAATCCAGCAAAATCGGTAGCTTCATAAGCCATGGGTTAACCCTCGCCGGCACAGGGGGGGGGGGGGTTGATGCAACCCCCCTAAGATTTTTCGCGAATAACTCGCGTAAAAAGCGGCCGATCGCGACGAAACTTTCAGTACCCTCGCATTGATCAATTTTACACCTACCCTGAAAATTTCATGACCCTGTCCCCAATGACCTTTGACCTGTGACCTCTTTTCTGTGACCATGTTTGGCCGAAATCGCGGTTCGGCGCATGTCGGCTCGCATTAGCCGCGCGTTTGCAAGCTTTTCGTGGTTTCAAACGTTCAAACATGTGATTTGATGTTGCTCCCATGCATTAGGGTGGATGTCAAGGTCACCTGAAGGTCAGGTCAGGTCATTGACCTTTGGTGACCTCGGGTGACCTCGGTTCACTTTTTCGAGTTTTACATGTTTCTAGGCTAGTTTTTGGAGCTGAATTCGAATTTAGCAACCATTTGAACATTTACGAAGTAGTTTTGGTGCCTTCGTAACATGTTACGAAGCTGTCCGAGGCGGTTGACACGTATTACGAATACCCGTCACAACCCCTACCGGTTGACCTGACCTGACCTGACCCGACCTGGTCTAAATGCTTAAAGACATCATCTATGATCAAAACTAACACGATATTCGTGATCAGCACCCCGGAAAACCACATAGCAGCCACACTTTACGACTTTCTAACAGGTCCCGATTTTCCCGGTTTTCGGGTCATTGACCTGACCTGGAAAGTCACCCGATGACCTAGGACCTTAAAATTGGGTATCATCGGCTTCCTCTCGAGACGGGCAACACGCTCGTTTTTTCCGCGAAGCTCTAGCTCGATCAGGGGCCAAACGCGAGGGGGGAGGTCGTACCAACCCCCCCCCCCCTTGTGCCGTCGAAGGACTCAAAATGGCCTGTGCCGGCGAGGGTTAATGATCCAAAAATCAAATTTGTTCATAAAAGAACGGTCCCTGAAAAAAGACACTCGTTCCAAGTGATCATATTTTCTTTTTCAAAGACGCGTCGAGTGTAATGATGACCTTTCTGCTGGGAAGCGCTCAAAGGTCGAGGTTGATAACGTCCACCGCAGTGTAGAGCAAAACGATTATAACGACCCCCTCTTGCGTTCATGCGATATTTGAAAACATTACCTCTCTGTTTCGGTGACGATTAGCAAACCAGTTGTCATTTTGGAAGCATCACCTATGTACGTCCTATCGTAATGTAGTTAGCAGTTTACTCTTTATGATGCGTTTCTGTCCTTTACCGTTTTGTACCGTCCTAAGCAATATGCATTTGCAGAAGCAAATTGACTTCCGTTTGTCATCACCAAGCCGTGAAACTGGGAGAGTAAACAGGTTGCTCATTTGCACTTTTCTTAGCATAAGAGTCGATGTGGGATGAGCTGTGCGGGAAATGCACAACAGAGGTACTCTCTAAACTGCATTCTCGATTTTATGGTTGTGAAAGAAGGCCTTCCGAGATGGTAACGAAATTACACACACCCGTGTTACTGCTTGTTGTGATACTCGTGCAATGAAAAATATTGGTGTTAAGAGGATGAAAATACACCCTCAGATAGGATAAAAACGTTTGCACTTCGATTATTTCTGCCTTGAATCCCCCTAAAAAAACTTCCCGGTCATTGCTCTGCATACCTCTTTGCATCATCACACATGAAAATCGCCATAGGTGTCGGGTTAGAGGTCCCTTGTTTTCACTATAGACAGCATGCAATGCTCCGGAGTGATTGATGGAAAGAAACTGATAGTAAAACTTTGACTTTGATGCTAAACAGATTGCATCATATAACGTCAATATTTCATATTTCGCGTCCTTCTTTTCGCGGCCATTATCAAGTTTCCATGTTGCTGTAAATTAGTAAAGCTATTGATCTTATATGTAGAAAATATATATTTTCTTTAAAAAGACCAATTGTGATGCTCGTAAAAGGAAGGAAACAATGAGTTTATTAACATAAAAAACACGCACTGCGAACGCCGGTGGTGGTGGTAAAGGTGCTCCAACTTGCGCAGCAAGCTGTGTTCTCCGCATATGCTAGGCCTGCAGGCATTCAACACTGACCCCGCTGACCCGTCCTTCACTAACGCCGCTGAACTTTCCCCCACTGACGCCACGGGCTCGTCCCCCACTGACGCTGCTGGTCCCGTCCACCAGGTCCAATGACCCCGATGGAGCGCCGGCTGCCCTCCGTCAAGGTGTGGCTGACGCCGGACGGTGACCTGTGCCTGCCGCACGACGACCAGTCGACACCCCTGCACGCTGACCACGACTCCCCTGCCACTATCACTCTGGAGCTGGACTGTCTGTCTCCGTGCCAGTCGCCGCGCCGGCCGACCTCCCGACTCGACGCGCCAGCCGCGCCGCGCCGCAAGAGCTCCAGCAGCTGCGCGTCGGCGCGCAGCTCGGCGCGCAGCTCAGTCAGCAGCTCAGTGTCGCCGGCCGGCTCGCGGCGCAGCTCGGGCCTGTCGCAGCGCTCGTGCAGTGTATGCAGCCGCTGCAGCCGCGGCCGTCTGGCGCTGGTGTTAGCAGAGTCGCGCCGCTCCAGCCGCGGCTCGCGGGGCTCCTCGTCCTCCTCCTCCGCCGCCAGCCGGCTGATAGAGGCCGTCATACGCTCTCCGAGACGCTCTTCCACTCTGTCGCGGCTCAGCGAGGTGCTGTCGCTGACCTCCGCGCGCCACTCGGTCCTCTTCGAGAGGAAGTGCTGCGGCTGCGGAGGAGGCGCCGGATGTGGAGGAGGCGCGTGCGGAACCTGCTGCAGCGTCAGCGGTGGAGCCGGAGGCGGCGGAGGGGAGGAATCATGGTCTGCCGTGGCCACAGCAGGCCGGCTTACGTTCACCCAGAGACTGGCGTTTCCCACACTGGCAGGGAAGGAGGTGCGCCACAAACGGCGCAGCCACTTCAGCGAGGCTGAGGAGCACATGAACCTGTTCGCCAAGCTGATCACCGTGGTGATCCTGTGCCTGGTGTTCGTCCTGCTGGTCGGAGTCATCTATAGATTTTTGCGGTAGCGCACGGTGTGTGATGTTTCCTTCTGGTCAATGACTGACTGAGTACAAAGGAAAGGAGTAACACCTAACAGCCTGTGAGCTGATCTCACTGCGGTCATGTCGAATGACACGGTCGAATCCTATCGGTGCAAAGGAAGATGAAATATTGAATTAACGTTGGCGTCGCCGGTGCCTGCGTGGTGTGATGAGCCTGAACTGAAGGGCCGGACCTACCCGTCTCTTACCTCGGTATCCGGGAGGATTTGGCGTAGTGCGGCCTCGACCTCCGCCAGCTCCTATTGCGTGTGTTCCAGCTCTCCCTAGCTGAAAGACGCCGGAGTTGACGGAAGGAGACAAAGGAAAAATAAGAAAGAAAAAAAAACGAAAAACATGAGCGGCCGCCGTCGGACGTGCCACTCACGCACTGGAGGCGCCCGGCGGCCGGCGCAGTGTCCTCGCCAGGCCGGGCGGGCCGTATTTGCTTACCCGACCGCTGGCGCTTATCTAGCCTCCTATTGGCGCCCGCACCCTCTGTGGCCGGCTCCCTCATCATGCCGGGCATCTCCAGGAAACGGGGGGCCGGTTGCACCTCTAACGCCAAGCGTTAATGTATTTTGCACGGAACTGACGTGAAAAGACCATTAACGTTGGCGTCGCCGGTGCCTGCGTGGTGTGATGAGCCTGAACTGAAGGGCCGGACCTACCCGTCTCTTACCTCGGTATCCGGGAGGATTTGGCGTAGTGCGGCCTCGACCTCCGCCAGCTCCTATTGCGTGTGTTCCAGCTCTCCCTAGCTGAAAGACGCCAAAATTTGCCCAAATGTATGGGCACGATGCCGGCAAGGGGCGGCATGAGGTATGCCATGCGGGCGCGGGGGATCATAAGTACCCCGGGACTTGTGGGGTGGAATAAACGAGCTCGGTGACGGCCGCTGTGAGGTCACGGGATAGCATTAGCAAACGTTTAATGCGTCACCAACCGGCCACGCTGGGTAGAAAGTGAGTGGAAACGGGGCGTAGCAGGGGCGCAGCGCTGGATTTCGCGCCCGGTATCGCTGTACAACTTCCATAGCTCTCTGGGACTGAGCCTGGTCACTGGGATCCCAGAGACACACGGCGCACATGCCGCCCGGGCAAACCACTGAGCCGCGAGGGCTGCCAAGAGCGGGTGGGAGGCCGGCGGATAACGGCGTCGCCCATACAAGTGCGGGCAGGGAGGAGAGTGGGCGCCTAGCAAACAAGCGCGCGGTTGGCGATCGCCGGCGGTGGCTGGCCGCAGTCCGAGCCCGAGGGACGGCGCGGCCTCCGACAGCGGGTTAGGCGGCGGTGGGAACGACATGGCGAACGGGCGAACGGGCGGTATGGGGGTGCGGTCAGCGGCGGCACGACTGATGTGTTAGATGGCAAGGCGGCGTGAGTCGGTGCGTTTTCTAGCGGCGGCATGGCGGCTGTCGCTATAGGACTATGTGCGGTGAGCCGGTCAGTGACAGCGCAGGGCATGGTGTCAGTACATACGTGACGGTCGTACGGTATAATTGCGAAACGTTACGGTGCGGCTGTTAGCCGCGGCGTGCGTATGCCGCTGCGCTGGACTCAGGGCTGAGGGCTGTCGGCAGGACATGGCAGTAGTATAGGCAACGGGTAAGACGCCCGTGTCGGGCACGGCACGGGTTGTCGGGAGAGGCATGACAGCAGCGGTGGGACATTGTTGAGGCGTGTTCGACAATCGACAGTGTAAGTGGAGTTGTTGGACTGACTTGAGATGGGAGGGACGCCTAGTCAGTTTGGCACAGTTATGGGGCAAAGTCAAGTGAGAACCGTCGTCTTTGAAGTGATCCGGCGAGAAGCGCTGTTAATGTAAATGATAATAGAATATAACTGAAATACAGATGCAACAGATGTGCATTTGCAATGGTGGATAGGATGCGCCACCTAGGTAGCTTGTGACTGTCTCACAAATCATGTGTCGGGAGGGGTCTTGTTTATCTTTATTGTCTCCTAACATTCAGGTAGACAAAAATTCCTGGTAGGGACGGATACCTCACAACGATGCGTACAAGTCCGCCGATTCCTGGAATCAAGCTGGTCACCGGGCGATTTGGCCCGAATTGTGTACACCGGCGGTTTCCCGCACTCTAACCAACACAACACGAGGCTGCGCTTGTCCGCGGCGAGCGAACGCGGTACAAGAGCGCTGAGGTGGGGGGGGGGGGGAGGGCGCTGAGCAAACAGGCGCCTACGAGCAACGGCCCGAGACGAGAGGGTTATCAGGCCGGCCGCGGCGGCGGGCGCGGCGGAACGAGTGCTGTCGGCGGGCGGTCTAGGCGGCGGGTGGGGGACGGCGTGGTACACGGGCCGCCGTCGGCGTCGGACATGACCGTTGCTCTGTCAGCGGCGGAGTGACGTTGACGTGTGACAGGCCTGCGGCTAGAGCGCTGGCATGACGAAGGTTCTGTCGGCGGCGGCATGACAGCCGGGGTTATGGGTAGATGATAGGAGTTGTGGTAACGGCGGGATGGTGGTATGTGACAGAGGGGGTGGGCCTGGCGATTGCCGTGGTAGGTGTGCCCGGTGCCGTTGGCGGCGCGGCGGCGCGGCAGCGGTTAAGACGTACGGGGTGGTCCGGGCGGCGGCCGGGATGGGTAGAACTGGAGTGTCAGCATGGCGGCGGTATGTGGGAGACGTGTCGGTCCGGGCGCTTGGGCTAGACATGATCGTGAACGGTCGGAAGCAGCGTGATAGCAGTACCTACATATATGGCGGACGGACACTCAGTGCGTTAGACATGACAGAAGTGTCAGCGGCGGCGTGGCAGTGGTTCGTGACAGACGGACAGCCTGTGCGGCGGGGATGATAGATGATTGTCCGCAGCGGCGTGACAGTGCCAGGTTGTCGGCAGCGTCGTGACGGCATCGGCGTGGTAGCGGTATGTGACGGATAGGCACAGGCAGCTCGTGCGATGAACCTGACAGGTCGGCCGGTGGCGGTGGCTTGACAGCAGCATATGACAGACGCGGTGACCGTGTAACGGGCATGACCGGCAGCAGCGTGACGGCTCGTGACGTAGCGGCGTAGGTGGCGACCAAGGCGCGATGCGCAGGCGCGCAGCCCCCTGTGCTGAAGATACATTGCCTAACGCAGCGCAAAGGTCCGGCGCCACCTGGGGTCGAACCGGGACACCCTGGCGATAGTCCTAACGGCACACAAACGGAACCGTCACGCTAACCACCACACAACTAGGACGCAGCGTTCTGCGACAGATGAGCGCAAAACAACGAGCGCTGGTGAGGAGGGCGGCGCTAAGCAAACAGACTTACGGCTGGGGGCCACCGGCCCGAAACTGATAGGGTGGCCAGGGGCCGGTCGCGGCGGTGAGCGCGGCGAGACAAGTGCACCAGCTAAGGGGGGACGCCAGTAAACAAACGTGCGGCTGGCGCGGCGGTGGCCGGAGACAGCCCGGTCCCGGTCCAGAGAGGCGCCGCAGTGACTGGCAGGGTGACCAGGGGGATGGGTAGACGGCTCTGACGTCATGGCTGCGTCATGACGTCATGGCTGCGTCATGACGTCATGGTGGACGGTCCGCTGTGGCCAGTCCGACCGGCCACAGCGGTCGCTGCTGTGCGGTGACGGAAGGCTGACGTGGGGACGCAGTGGGCGGAGCTTGGAGGCTGTGTACGGTCCGACCGCACACAGGGCCCGTGAACAGCCCTCAGGCTTAGGTGGAAAATGGCAAACGGGAGAGACGGCCGGCGGTGATAGCGGTGGTGAAGAGCGCGGCGGGCATGACAGTTTGGTATGACATGAAAGATCAGCTGATCTCGGAAATGTCATAGCTAGTTAGTGTTGTTGTTATAGCGAGTTGTTTGTCGTCAGTGTAGGAGAGGGACGCGAGTGTATGAGCAGGGCGAGCGCGATAGAATGGGCACCGGTGGGAAAGGCAGCGCCAAGCAAACAGACTGGCGGCTAGGGGCCGCGGGCGGCGGCCCGGGATGGGAGGGTGGTCAGGCCGGGGTGCGCGCGGCGGGGCGGGGCTGGCGGGAGGGAGGTGCCGCCGGGAGACAAAGGCACGGCCGGCGGCCTCAGGCGGTGGCAGGTGACAGTCCGGCTCGGAGAGACAGCGCGGCGGCCGGCGGGGTGGCCGAGCGGCGGTCGGCGGGGCGGCTGGGCGGCGGGCGGCCGGGCGGCCGGGCGGCGGCCGGCGGGGGGGGAGGGGTTGCCGCGGCGGCGGTCGGCCGGGCGGCGGCCTGCGGGGGGGGGGGGGAAGGGGTTGTCGGGCGGCGGCCGGCGGGGCGGCCAGGCGGCGGGCGGGTCGTGGCAAACGGCAGGACAGCCAGCGGAAGCGTCAGGTGTGACGGTGGGTTGTCGGCGGCGGCATGACAGCGGTGACGACGAACGTAGCGGGCGTGACGGTTGGGTGTGTCAGCGGCGGCGTGACATGTTGGGTGACGGGCGAGGCAGGGGCGGCGGCGGCAAGACCGAGGTCCGGCGGCGGCGTGACGGTGTAAATGACAGACGAACAGTCCGTGTGACAGAAGAGGTAGTCAGCAGCGGCTTGACCACGTATGACAGACGGGACAGGCCGTGCAACGGGCGAGATAGTTGATTGTCAGCGGCGGCGTGACAGCGTATAAGACGGCACAGTTCAGGCGACTGACGATAGAAGCCATGCGAGCGGCGGCGTGACGGCCTAATAGCCGACGGGAAATCTCACCGGCGACGGGTGAGATGGGCGTTATAGTAGGGCAGGGCGGACTAGCCGTCCGAGAAACTCTCATGACATAAACATGGGATGTCAGCTGCGGCGTGACGGCGCGGGACGTGTCGGCGGTAAGACAAGCAAAGGAGCAGTAATCGCCACGTGATCGCCACGGCAGTAATCGACACACAAGTGGAACGTGGACCACTCTGAAATGTTCAACACAACAATACGAGGGGGCGGTAGGTACGCCGGCACGGAGCGCCCGCGGGCCTAAGATTGCTGGTAGTGGGGTCGCTCGTGACAGCCTGGACACAATAGGGAGACGCCAGCAAGCAAAGGCGTGACTTACCGGATGCCCT